CAGTTACTAGCTATGCTAAGGAGAATTGTATTGAGCTCTAACGGCTACAGCAGTTTCCCATATTTAAAGGTCACAATGAAGTCTCACGAGAGTGACGCTGAAATTATCTTATATGTGCACGTAAGATTATGATCAGTTACTTGATGTACGTACGATTATTGCTTCGTTGAACTTCAGACAGGGTTTGAACTATTTGCCGAAGGTGGTAAGTAGTAATATGCTTGCTCAACAGCCCTTCACCATCTGCCTTTCTCACTGACTCTGAAATTGCTCCGTACTTTTGTTTAGCTAGGAACATGCCTAGCTATGATATGAAACTTAATTAAATTCGGTTTTTTTTTTATTTTTTTTTTAAATAATGTATAAGAAGAATTTGTAAAAAAAAATTAGTGTAAAATCACCAGAATATGAAAAGTTAGGTATGTCCAATAAAAGATTTGAATAATATTAAATGTACTAATTCCTTATACAAAATCTTCCTTACAAACTTATATGACACAGAGTGAATAAATAATTTTGTATACTAAATCAAATCAATAAATATTATTTAATATAGATGAATGATATGACAATAAAAATGTTTGAATTATTTGATGGCGGAGGTAAATAGTAATTCATGCTCAACAACCATCACCATCGGATGTTCTCTCTGAAAGTGGTCCTTACTTTTCACCCTCGTCTAACCATTTTCTTCCGATGATGATCGTGATGTTAACATATGAACCTATGTTGGTTTTTTTTTAACCAATGACTCCGTAACCATTATTAAATATAGTGAGATGGTGGTACTTTTTTTTTTTTTTTTTTTTGAACAAATGACTCCATAACCATTACTAAATGTAGCGAGATGGTAGTCCTGAATCGACATGTTAAACCAGTGTCCACACCAGCTTTTAACTCTTACGGGGCGTTGGAGGTAATAAAAGATTACTGGGGTTATGCCATCTTATATTACTTTATTACCACGTTTGGTTGTCAAATAATATAAGATTACGGTAATCTTGCGTTATCAATAGTTGTTACTGTTGGTAATGTTAGAGGTAATCTAATTACCTTTATTTTCTTAGGTATTGTAAAATTACCTTAGTAATCTTATTTTTGTTACAATTTTATCCCTTCTTAATGAAAAAATTGAACAATAATGTCTCTGTTTTAAAATAAATTAACCTTAATATACCATTTTAATTTTACCTTTGTTTAATTAAGTTTTTGGACAATAATGCTGTTATATTCAAAACAAATTACAGACCACCACCGCCACCCAGCCACCACCGTTGACAGCAGGCCAACCACCATGGACAGCTGTCGGAAAGTCGCGGAATCCCTCAAAATGATCGAGATTTGCTGGTAGGCTCTGGGAGGCTTCGATATGGCCATTTCCAACGATATCAGCCAGATCTGGCCATTAGCGACCAGATCTGGGCGAGATCTGGCCATTAACCGCCATGGACCCAACCGTTAACCGCTAGATCTATTCTGCCCAGAATAGATCTGGTCGTTAACGGCCAGATCTCGCCCAAATCTGGTCGTTAACGGCTAGATTTGGCCTGATAATATGGCCAAAAACGACCATATCGGAGCCTCGTGGTCACGGTGAGCTACTCACGACGACTTTCGAAGACTTTTGACAGTGGTTTGCGGTGGCATCAGGGGGTGGGGGTGATTTTGTCATAAATCAAAGTTATATATAAGCGGAGGTGTTTTAGCTAAATCTAAAATGTTGGGGGTTAAAAGAATTATTCAAAATTTAATAATAAAAATAATATTATATTAATATTTAAAAAAGTGGGTAATTTAGTAATTTAAATAACATACCCACCAATTTATTCTCTCTAACAAAACATATTAATATAATATACCCATCAATTATCCAAACATATTTTTCTAAAGACGCGCCTTAAGGTTATATCAATATCAGCCATAAATTAGAGAACAAAAATACAAATATTCATATCATTCCAGAGTGCGGTCCGTGCACAAGCTTTTTGTTTTTTACGCGGCTCTTTGGCCTGTCAAGGGGTTGGCGATAGGTTGTATTTTTTTTATTCTTTAATTAAATTTCCGTGCTTACTTTTCACCCTCGTCTAACCATTTTCTTCCGATGATGATCGTGATGTTAACAGAGGAATCTATTTTTGGTTTTTTCTGAACAAATGACTCCGTAACCATTACTAAATATAGCGAGATGGTGGTATTTTTGTTTTTTTTTTTAACAGATGACTCCATAACCATTACTAAACGTAGCGAGATGGTGGTCCTGCATCAGACATGTTAAATCAATGTCCACACCAGCTTTTAACTCTTAAATATCAGCCACAAATTAGAGAACAAAAAGAGGGTATACTAATATTCATATCATTTCATCAAATTTAGATTCTGATATTCAAAGTCAATCTTGAACCCATAACATGAAGTATTAAAGATCCTAATTATGGTATGACAAATTAGAGAACAAAAAGTTTGATTTTTGTAAATTGTTTAATAGACTTCAAGAATTAGTTGAGGTGTGCACAACCTACCAAATACACTGATACCGAAGAAAAAAAAAACAATTCACCTTTTTTTCTTGCAAGTTGGTGATCCAAGATCAACATGAATTTAACTCTTAACGTTATATCAATGTCAGCTTCAGAAATTAAACAACAAAAAGAGGGGACTTTCCATGATATATATATATCTGCGGAATCAAGATCAACATTCATGACAAACAATTTAAGATTAATTTTTCTGATGGAGCCATCAATTATTAAACGTCCTATAAATATGATATGATGGCTAATTTCTTTGATTTAATTTCCTAATTCTACTTTATTTTAGTCTTCGTTCACGTTCAAATGAGTTTTAATTATATTTTACACCTTTCTTACTGTACTGCACGCATCTTTGTGCAATAATGTCGTATACATTATTACACAGTGACACAAATAATTAACAAAACATTATTTGTGTAATAATATCGTATACATTATTACACATAATGTATACAACATTATTTGTGTAATTAATATCAGAAAACTGTTCAATAATTAGCCTGAAACGACCGTGGAAAATTATTAAGAGTAACCGCAAGAATATTTAATCAACAGAAAATGATCTTGTTTTTTTTTTATTTTCTTTGATTATGGCCCTATTATATGAACTTGCTAAATATAAATTTGAGAGGGAATTAACGATGGAGAAAAAAAGGGTATTTAATCCTAGAAAATAATTGTCAGCGTAGGATTTCACAGCATCGTTATTTACTGATTGAGTGCTTATTTGGTATACTCCAACTTTCTTTAAATTGCCTTTCTTGCCTTCTTAATTATGACATAGTATCAGAGTTCCTCTCTCAATTTTAACACATCTCTTAACCTGCAACTCTTCCCATGACGAAGTACCCTTCTCACACGTAAAAACCAAATATAGCAATTAGACAATTATGAAATAAGCAGTGGAATGATATCTGTTTATGAAAACAAATTTCAGTAATATACAATTATGAAAGAAACAAGGAGTATTTACTTAATTAATTAAACTAATCTTCAAAATGGGCAGTAATAATAATACTTGATTATATTCAAAAACACATTTTCATGAGATATATAGTATCCATTTTCAAAAACACGTTTAGGATTATATTCGAAAACTTTTTTCAAAAACATGTCTAACACAGTTCAACAAAACACATTTTCATGAGATATATTGTATCCATTGTTTTAATATTCATGTATAAAGCTAATCTAGACCCTCAAAACACGAATTATTAGGGATCTTAATTACGATGATGGCTAATTAATTTTTTTGACTTAACTAAGGGGATGTTTGTCTAAGCTTATAAGCTGGTCAAACTAACTTATAAGCTCTAAAATTAAATTGACCTATTTGTTTATAACTTTTTTTAGTTTATAAAAAAAAAAAAAAAAGTAAAAGTGGGAAATACATGCAGGGTCAAAACTGTGCCAACTTGCACTGCAAGTTGCAAAAGAGATACACGTTGGCCTTATCATTTACTAACGGCATGCAAGTGGGAAATACAAGTTGGCCTGCAAGTGGAGACGCAAGTTGCAGATCAAATGAACCATATTTCTTGTATTTAGTTAGTTCGTTAGTGCTCTGTTTTTTGTTTCTTCAACCTCTCGCATTTTTCCTTTACAGTCGTCTCTCTCTCTCTCTCTCTCTCTCTCTCTCTACTGTGTTGAAAGTTTCACAGAATTATGTGCCGTAGGTGGCGAGTAGCAATGCTTGCTCAACAACTCTTCTATATCTGCCCTTCTCTAAAATCGGTTATGGGGTCTTTCTTTTCACGCTTTGCTTCTTAATTAAAATTTCTTTGGATGATATCAATGTCGTACTAGGTTGGTCATCACTGGTATATCTGTACCGTCACTTGAGCACATTTATTTGATAAATGGATCAGGATGCATGCCCATCTAGGGTTTTATAATATTTCTAAGACTCACAAAAACTTTATAACATGTGAAGGAAAAATCAATATCATAGGTGTTGGTTAAGACTGTCAAAGACGTTTGTTCCTTTTTAAAGTTTTTGGGTTTAAATTTTGGAATCACCTACTATAATAACATTGTGATTTACTTTGTTCTTTGAGTCTGTAGGATGTTCAATAGACTCAAGAATTAGTTGAGGTGTACACAAACTAACGGATACACTGTTACCGAAGAAAAAAAATAATACACCTTTAATCAAACAGAAAAGGTATCTAATTCATACAGAAATACTTAATTTAAATTTTGAGTTATGATAACGAGGAATTAATTACTGCATGGCCAGCTACTTTAATCAAACAGAAAAGGTATCCGCCAAGGAATCAAATTGGACGTTGTTCTCCGAGTTGAGAACCTTCTCATACTCCGCATTTATTTCATCTAGCTTAATGTTATCTTCAATGGGTAGGAAGTCTAAGAATGAATTATCAATTTCATTAGCAAGACCGAATTCTTCTATATGAACCTTAGCAGCTGCAGCTTTTTCTATAAGATCAGACCGACTTCTCAGTGGTTCTTCTGTATCATGTGGTCTTATAATATTTCCTTCTCCATGGCAAGGTGATGATGATCTAGTACTTTCCATGGTATCGAAACCCACGACGTTCTCAATTGCAATAGAGTATGGCGAAACCCTAACTGCCTTGGGGATATATATTTTGGTATTTAAAGTGTCTTCGTTTGCAGCACCGTCCTTGTTCTTCTTCTCAAGTTTTCTCTTTTCAGCGGTGGACTGGCTGCTTGGTATTTTCTTGACCACTCTACTTGTTTCCACTCTCCTACTAAGACGGCAATTCCAGTAGTTTTAAATCTCATTTTCAGTTCGGCCAGGTAATCTTTTTGCGATGAGAGCCTAACGATTGCCAAGAAGAGAATGAAGCCTGATAATAAGGTCTTCCTCATCAGAAGGGATGTTTCCTCTCTTTATGTCTGGTCGCAGATAGTTAACCCATCTTAACCTGCAACTCTTACCACATCTAAGTACTCCTGCACACAATCCAAACATAGAAAGTTAGACAAGCAAATTAAATCTGCCTACGAATATAATGCTTCATTGAATTGATGTACTAGTAATTAGCTATCTAAAGTATTACCAGCTCTTGCAGGCAAATTCCTCCAATCGCCTTCACCATGAACCCGAATATAATTAATTAGCGAAGTATCTTCTTCAGCACTCCATGGACCTGTATGCAGACCCTGTCTAGAGCAACAAGGGGCTCTTCCCATTTTTCTCTTTTACAAAAATAAGCAATACTCAATGAGAAAGAAGACCAGGACAGCACGAGTGAGGACAACACTTCCCCACAGTTTACAATGCCATGAAAATATGTAGGCCATGATAATTTGACATGTGAATGAAATTATATTTTATGGAATCAAATATTAATAAATTTATAAATTGTCAATGAAAGTTGGAAATGGAAAGAACAAGCCATAGATCCCATGACGTGCTTACACAATAATTAATAATACACCTCAAAGATTTTTTATTTTATTATTATTAATAACTTATGTGTTTGGACTTTGGATTAGCTTATTCATACTTTGACTAATTTTAAAGAGAAGCTATCATACACCAACCCACCGCCATGGTCTCCTAAATAAATGCTACATAATATATTTGCGTTTAACGGATAATCAAATTTGGGCCTTTGGGTTTTACCCATTTGCAGTCCCCTTGGACCTGGTTCGCCCTCACTGATTCCCATATTTCAATATGTTCAACACCAACAAGTGAAAACATATCTTTATTTTGGATTTTGAAACTGAAACACATCAAAATTATGAAGAATCACGTTTCAATTTCTATGTGTAGTTATTTGATTTGCTTAATTAATTAGATTTTAAATAAAACTTGTTTTCTTCAAATCAGTGAATTGATACCAAGCCAGATCCGTCATTTTTGGCTCTGTTTCAGTTTCAATGGTATCCTTGACTCAACATTTCGTATTGTTTTTACGTAATAAATCCTCAACGAATCAGGTGCATGACAATTGTTGATGCTTGATTTTGGCACCAACTAATTATCACGTGCGTAACGTTGATTGGTCAAAAAGCACACGTAATAATGAATATCGAAAACGAAATAAATGCTGTGAGAGTTTCTAAAGTGGTTCGGATGCTAAGGTAGCATGTCCTATGTCCACTGATTTGTATTAATATTGATAGTGTGAGTCAGGTCGCGACAGCGGACTGACTTACACAAGGTTGGGAAACCGATACAAAAGCGTGAGAGAGAGATTTTTGTGTAAAATTGTCGAATCCCCCTAATGAAGGGGTCTTCCTCTTCTTATACCCAGTGGCATGTTCGTAATCATCACTAAATCCTTAGGTTGGTGTGATTGTCAGGACCTAATCTGATTTTACGTCCCATTACCCATTTTCCAAGCCGATTTCACGCGATTTGGAGCAGGCTAGCGGACACGTGGAAGCACTAGGGCGTTTGGCAGGTCTGACGTGCGCTTACCGTTCTGACGGAAGCAGGCCACGTTTCGTCACGCAACTCCACGTCAGCCTTTGATTTCTTAGTCACAACAGAAGCCCTCTACTTTGTAAGGTTTGAGGGTCGAACCTTGGAAACTAAGCCATGCCACGGTTGGGGGTTTTGGTCGTTCCGACCTGAATAAAAGAAGCTCGGGACGTGACCTTCAGCGAACACGACCCCACACAGTTCTTGCCCAAGCGACCTGAGAATTGTCATTTTAACGACCTGGATTCGTTGGGCGCTATTTTACGTCCCTTGAAGAGATTCAATGAACCTGTATCCACGCTGTCAGGCGCTCTGCACGCGCCGCAGTGTCTGCCAGGAACATTAAATGCGCTGTGCTGACTCGGCGTCGTTTCGATAGCTCTGACTGCATGACGCGCTTGAAACGACGACTCCCATTAGGGCATTTAATGCGACGTGGGGCGCATTAAATGCGGGGAGAGAGAGGAGGCTGTCGTTTCGGTTCCGAGAAGTGGTAACCGTCGATTCACAATCCGTATAAAAACTCACATTTTTCAGATGAGGTCACGAAAACTCCTTTCGCTTCGAGTGACAAGCCTTTGCAAACCAGAAACCATTCTTTTCCGATCGGCGCTTCTCAGGCAACTGAAATGAGTTTCGGCCTCGGTTACTCATCCCAGAAGGTAAGATTCTCTTCTTCCTCTCTCTTTTTTTTGCATTTGTTTGGTTGGTGGGCAACGGCATTTGGTCTCTCGGTGTTCCACTAGAGACGCGCCACTGTTGCCGGACTCGAGCTGTGGGTGGCGGCTCAGGTTACTATTAGGGTTTTGAGAATTTGTCCCCTGCCACCGCACGGGACAAAACACGAAGGCCTAAATGACCGTGTCTATCGATGTTGCAGACTCTGGAATGGATCCGTCAATATCCAGACCCGAGGAAGCGGCCAGCTCGTCCTCGCGGGACGTTCCCGAGGACGCATCCCTTGATGTCTTCTCGGTTCTCACCCCCGAGGAATTTGATAGGATAAAAAAGCAGTTTGACGTCCGCGCGGAGGTGTTCCTCGACCATACCAGGTCGTCACGGCGCCCCTCCGATGGCCTTGCCGCGATCTCCGAAGAGATCTTCAAGGGTGGATGGAGGATTCCCCTCCATCCTTTCATCAGGTCGGTCCTGGATCACTTCGGGATCGCACCGATGCAACTCACGTCAAACACGTATGTCATCGCCGTCGCGATGTACATCGCGTGCTGCGAAAGCAGCTTGGGTGAGCCAACGGCAGTGGAGCTCGGCGTCGCCTATTACCTCAAAAAGAGTAGGGACAAGGATTCATACTACCTGTCCCGGCAACCTACCATCGCCGAGGGGATACACAGCTATCCCAGCAATGCGGGGGCTTACGAGACGAAATTTTTCTTTTTCTACTATGACGGCTACTGCCGCTTCCAGACACCAAGTAAGTTCTTCCTCGCTAGGTATATTATCTGTTCGCATACTCTATAATAACGACCTGTTTTCTTTTGCAGTTAATAGAACGACCAACCAAAACCTACTTGCCGACCCAGACAGGCTCGTATCTTTTGGAGTGTTGGACGAGGAGAGCCGGGACGCAAGGAAGCTTGTGACAACCGCGAACTTGCGGAAGTACGGTTTTTTCAGCGACAAAGCGTCTTTAGAACCATTGGAAGGTAAGTTACATTGATTCATGTCCTGGTCGCGAAGTAATTTTGTTTACTAACGAACTTAAATGGAGAAACTATGCCCCCGAAGGAGTCCGAGTAGCCCCGCCGAGCACCATTCGTCTTCCCTCAATTGAGGAGGGAGAGAGCGGCCGAAGCTACTCGTCCCATTCCTGCACAACCGGTGCAAACTGCTACACCTTCGCAGCCACCTGTGCATGAAGCGACCAGGGCAGAGCAGGTTGCACAGGCACCACCAGCACGCCCAAGGCGTAAGGCCCCGGCCCAAAGGTCGAAGAAGAGGAAACAGGTCCAGGCCGAAGAGTCTGAGACCGAATCCGAGGAGGAGCCCTTGAGGTTGCGAAGGGACTCAAGGAGGTCGGGCAAGGAGCCTGCAGGTGAGGCGATCACCTTCGACAAGGCGGCGGACATACCAGTGCTGGACTCGCTGGGGAGCCTGCCTGAGTACCTGCAACCGATAGTCTACTCTCTGCTTGAGTGTGGACTATCGGAGTCTTACGATTAGTTCGCCGACACGGGCGACGACTTGATGACCACTTCGTTCCAGCATCTAAGCAAGGTAAACGAGCTGTTCTTAAAATTTCATTCTGGTTCATTTCTAACCATTTCGTGCTCGCAGGCTCTACTTGTGATGAGGATGTCTATGGAGAGGACTCGGCTGGGAGCCGCGAAGGGGTCCAGCGACCTACAGGAGGAGGTCGCGAAGCTTAAGAAAAGCCTGGAGTCCGCAGAAGCTGAAAGGACAGAAGCGTTCGATGCGGCGAACAGGTATCTGAGCCAAAAGGATGCTGCTTTACAAACGGTGGACTTCCAGAAGGCGGAGCTTGAGTGACGTGCGGAGTAAGTGAAGGAGCTCCAAAGGACAATCGCCAGGCTTTCCAAAGTTGTCCTGTACGCCCATAAGACTTCGGGGAGGTCGTCAGCCCAATTCCCCTTGGCTGCCCCAAGTTTGGCTTTTAGAGTGTGCTTGATGGTCTTGTTGACTGCTTCAACTTGGCCATTCGCTTGCGGTCTGGCGACTGAGGTAAATTTTTTATGGATGCCCAGCTCGTCGTAGAACTGCTTGAACTCCTCGTTATCGAATTGCTTTCCGTTATCCGAGATGAGGGTGTGCGGAATTCCATAGCGGCACACTATGTTCTTAAAGATGAAGTCTTTCAACTTTCTAGTCGTGATCGCGGCTAATGGTTCGGCTTCCACCCATTTCGTGAAATAATCTACCGCGACCACAGCATACTTGACCCCTCCCTTTCCGACTGGCATGGGGCCGATAAGATCTATCCCCCACATGGAAAACGGCCAGGGGCTAGACATACTTATCAGCTCGTGAGAGGGGGCTCGCGGGATGTTCACGAACCGCTGGCATTTATCACACTTCTTGACAAAGTTGTGCGCATCTTCTTGAATCCGGGGCCAATAATATCCCTGACGAACAACCTTGTTCGCAAGAGATCGAGCAGCTGTGTGGTTGCCACAGATCCCTTCATGGATTTCCCTCATGATGTAGTCTGCTTCTTCGTTGGTTACACATCGGAGGAGAGGTGCACTGAATCCTCTCCTGTACAGTTGGTCCCCGATAAGTGTGAAACGAGCAGATCTTACTTGCAGGACCCTTGCCTCGACCTTGTCGCTTGGCAAGGTCCCATCCTTGAGGTACTGGATAATGGGAGTCATCCAGGAATCCGGTTGAGCCACATTTACGGCCAGTTTGGTCGAGCTGATAGTTGGAGTGCGGACGAAACGAACAGGAATGTTATCTGGAGCCTCTGAATCCAATGAGGAGGCTATCTTTGCCAAGGCGTCCGCTATAGAATTGCTCTCTCTGGGGATCTGAGCGATTTCAAAGTGCTTAAACGACCCCAGAGCGGTCTTAGCCTCTCTGAGGTAGCGGACCATGTTCTCTTCCTTGGCTTGGTATTCCCCTAGAATTTGGTTGACGACCAGCATAGAGTCGCTGTAAATGCTGATTGCGAATGCACCCATTTCTTTGGCCAGTCGCAACCCAGCGAGTAGGGCTTCGTACTCGGCCTCATTATTGGTCGCTTTAAACCAGAACCGGAGAATGCCATGAATTTGAGCCCCCTCAGGACTCACAAGGAGAAGACCCG